ATTTACTACCATACACGTGAAAAATATTATATCAGGTGGTATTTACCCGCTAAGGCGTTGTGGTTGATCGAGTTGCTTTCAATATGTGAATTATAAAACATTGATAAATATATTAAAGCGGGGGAGTCGTCGCCTGCGCATGGTCATATCGTGTCGTTGTTTATAAACAAGCGTCTACACACGAGCCTTTGCGTGTTTAGCGTGTGTTGTTATCGTCGTTTGGGACTCAATTTCCGCGCGTGCGCAGGTGACGATCCTCCCGCTTTATAATATTCATGCCTTCATGAAACGGCGTGTAACATTATGTAAATGTGTATCGCATGATAACTTTTTCATCTATGCAAAAGTGGTATGGAATAGCTGGAAGGTATTATTCAAAATTTTTATTTTTTTAATAATTTGATAAACTCGTGTATTGTTGGTATCGCTGTAGCGTATTGCGTGTAGTATACTTATACTAACGTATCTAACAATAGTGCATATGTTTACACCACGAACTGCCATCACAGTATATACTAGTATACGGAGCAGAATTTGATAAGACAAACAAGCTTCTTTCTGATTGGTCTGATTGTTGGGTGTTATGGTTAGGTAGCCAATCAGGCACAAGCTTGTAAGTAGTTGCGCATTTACTCCGAACTGCTCAGATATTGTGTAGACTAAAATAGACAGTAGAACGATGGATATATGTGTCTTCGATCTTGGCATAAACGTGTTGGCAAAACTATGGTTGCTCGACTGACAAATATATCAATGAAATCGCGCGATGAATGATCACGCACGTATTGTGAGACAGAGTGTTATTGAAAGGGAAAAGAAGGTAAGGGCACCTCAGGACGTCAGAGTCTCGGAAAGATCTCGCAGAAATGACAACGCTACGAGGGCACGAATAGTGCAAGACAATTTGAACGGTTGGCTGTATAAGTATGAGACGATGGACTTCGGGCGTCCTGTTTGGTACATTAGTGGGTTCCATGCGACATGTACAACGCGTGTAAAATACATACTAGTAGTTTTTACGCGAGTTTCCGAGAGACATTTCTCGCCGAGTTCACTACTGATTGGACACAAAAGCCTAGCACTGGTGTATTACCCTGATCGAGGGTGTTGCTACTTGACGTCATGACGGTGGGTCGAGTCAAGTCGAGTAGACGACACACATCCATAGAAAATAGAATTACTACAGAAAGCTATTATGAGCAGAAATAATACACTGACGACGGTATTCGTTTGTCCAACCCCTCGGTATAGTGATTATCATGGTATAATTTATGATACGTTCTGTTCCAGGATTTTACAATTATATTACTGGTTATTAAATAATGTTTTTGTGTACACACTATATATGATGTGTCTCCCCGTACTACTACCGGTATAAATTACTATAACTATAAACTTAGCCTTCTCAATTCTTACCTTGGATCTTAGGTGGATTCGAGGCACTGGACGTACGGGCCTGATTGAACGTAAGGGCCCAACGCGCACGGGGAATAATGCACATATTTTGGCGGAGACGCTGGGGGGGGGGGGGGTAATCCTGGACTTACGTCTTGATTGTTTTTTTTTTTTTCAATTTCAGTTTTTTTAATTTCATGTAAAGTTTTGATTTCTTCAAAGTACTTGAAGCAGAGTTTCACATCCAAGTTCACGACTGAAAAAGATGGAAGGGCTCACGGCAATTGATATCCCTCGCCAGTGAGAACGCATTCGCTTCACCATGCACTCTAGACGTGCATGATGGCGACGTATTTAAGTGGGAAATCAGATAACAAGCAATAGAAGACGGTTACATAAAACGATTGTGAATGGTCACCGTGTAATGCACTGAGCCATCTTCTACTGCATTAAGTAATCAGTAGTGCTCACGACACAATTGTGAACGGCTCTCAAATTTCTTTGTCGATAAAGCCGCAGTTTTTTATTTTGCGTGAGAGTGACTGATATATCGCACCGTACGTGTCATCCACAGACAGTTTTAGAATTTGTTATCAAACTAATTCGTGAGATGTGAATCAAATTGCGGACTTCAGTCTATGAATGCCCATCCATTTTTATGCACTTTTAGTTCTTTTTGATTAATAAAACAACACGTTTTCGACTTATTGAAGCATTTATATATCAAAGTTGCGAAAATGAATGTTTAACAAGTGAAACGAGATGAATCCGACGATCGTGGCGCTTCAATGGGCATTCTTAATTGCAGTGTGGATGACCGGAAGCCCCCTCTACAAATTTCTTTAGAACACCGACATTGCGAGGTGCAGTGTAAAAAACACATTTTGATACATTTGTCACGTACTCTTAGAATATAATTTACCGAAACCCGTGAAAATCACATATTTTTCTGGTGGTTGTAAGTCTCGGTAAATGTTCCAAACTGCACCCGTATGATCTTTCGTGATGTCGAATTTGGTTTCGAACAAAAAGATAATGAGTGTTCTGCGCATGCCCACATACAGAATAATGGTTGCTCTTTAGAAACGCGGTTTTCGCCGCCGGCATTATTCTGCGATTGCTCGCGGGTTTCTCTGGTTTCTTTTGTTAAGCAGATTTTATGTAGATTTATGCAAAACTTATTTGTTATAAATTTAAGTACTTGGAGCTATCCCTACCGTTTCTTTGTTACGTAAGCCCACACATCGGATGAAATCGCACGGAAATGAAAGAACGGTAGATTACTGTCATTCATTCAAACACAGTCCCTCTAGATTTTAGTTTCATAAAGTGTGTGCCTTAGTACAAGGGAGAGTCCATTAAGAGTGGGTATGCTGGGATGGGAGGGGAGGGGAGTTACTAGGTTTAATTTTTTTTTTTAAATCTGCGCTTGAAAATTTAAATTTGTCCCAAAACAACCGTACAACCGATGCTTCCGATGAATAATGTTATATAGCTCAATCTGTTGCGACAGAATGGAACAATTGCACACAATGCAATCTTCCACCCCAGTAAAAATAAAAACGTCGTGAGTATTGCATAAGAAGTGACAAATAAAAGGGCGTACAATTGCGACATCCGGC